CACCCAGCAGATGCTTAGTAAATGGAGACGTAGAGTGTCCCAGCCGAGATGACAGCCCAGGGTCTGACCAATCCCAAAGGAGGCTTCTCTGCTATGGCACCGCTGGGCCCAGGGTATGAGGGTGTGGCAGGCTGACCTCCGCATCACAATTCCCTTATACTTAGAAGAGGGGTGGGCGGGGGCGGGGGGAGGCTATCGTGAGGTTGTGCTTCTCAAACTTCACTATGCGTGATGATCACGCACAGCTGTGGTTAAGTACAGCTTCTGCCAGTCTGCTGCGAGCCCCGGAATCTGCATCTCTCCCAAGCTCCTGGCTGGTGCCACGCTCAGGCTTCTGGCGGCGGGACCCCACTGTGAGCATCAAGGGTCTCGTCCCAGAGCACAGGTTCAGACCTTTACAGCGGGTCCATACAGATGAGCTCTCTCCTTCCTTCCCGATAATATTGGAAGAAGTAAAGGAGACAGGTACTTCCTGTGACATCATACAAGGTCCAGGACAGACATCACTTTCAATCAAGAAGCAGAACGGAGTGCTGACCCCATACAACGGCAACACACACGTACTGAGGGCCAACTGCATACAATGAGGCTCAGGACTGGCGCTGACCACATACAAAACAACGTACACGTACTGAAGACCAACTGTACACAACAGCCTCAGTACTGAGGCTGACCCCACACAAAACCAGGACTCAGTACTGAGGGCCGACCCCAAACAGCAACACACATCCTGAGTGCTGACCGCATACAACCAGACCAGGACTGAGCCCGCACAGATCAGACTGGCTGGACTGGCAGTCTCAGGCTGAAAAGTCACCTCCTCAGCCCACAGACAGAGGTGCAGCAGTCCTCACGCATGCTGCAAACAGCCAAACGGCCCCCACCTCAGTACCAAGAATGAGGTGGGGATCAGTGCAACACGAGACCGAAGGGAGAGATGACCAAGGGACATCGCTGCCTCATCTACCAGCCTACGCCTGGCTGGTCTCCCGCGCCCCGAAAACCGAGGCATCAGACCCGGGAGTTACAAAAGGGATTGTATCCAGACCCCTATGTAGGACCGAGACTTCCCTGTCCCACAGGGTGCTCCGGGAGGGTCCGTGGAGAAAGATGTCCTCACAGGGGCCAGGTGATTCCCACCCTGCCCCCAAGCCTGTCAGTCCCACGGGGCTTGGTTCATTTCAGAGTTCCCGAAGTCTGCCAGCCACGGTGGCCGTGACTTGTCCAGTCAGGACAGCCTGACATTTACGTAACATTCCCCAGGGGGACAAACTGCTGCCACCTGCCCACATCAACTGTTAAACCAGTAAACCACCACTGACACTGGAAGGACACAGTGGACGCCTCAACCAGGATGGCTCTGCCCTTGTGAGGATTATATCCCTGCAGACACACACGCGGACACACCACACACGTTACATATACACTTACAGGCAAACAGCCACATGGACACAAACACACAGATACAGGAGCATAAACAAATGCTTACCTACGTCTATAAATAGTTATAACAGACGTGTGCACCCACACGTTTGCACACAATTACATATGGCCATGCATTCACTTAAGAAACATACAAAGACACACATGTACACACATGTATACGAATGTGTGCATAAGCATGTAGGGCACACACTCAACACATATAAACACACTGGCACACGCAAACAGACAAATGAACACACACATGCATGCACAAGTACCTACCCACACACATACATGCACCCACACTGCTGGGTATGGCTCTTCTAGCCATTGTCTTTGTAACTTCCACCCAATGACCAGGCCAAACCCCCAAATCAAACTCACTGCCACTGAGTCAATTCTGACTCACAGTGGCTCTTCAGGACGGAGTAGAACTGCCCAGTGGGTTTCAACGACGAAATCTTTACCGGAGTAGAAAGCCTCACCTTTCCCCCGAGGGGCGGCTGGTAGTTTTGAACCACTGAACTCACAGTTCACAGCCCAACATGTAACCCACTACGCCACCAGGGCTCCTAGTGACTGGGTAGGACCATGCCAACAGGGAAACTCGAACGTGGAAACAGGTCCGTCTTGCCATCCCACCCGATTGCAAAGGTGCGGCTGCAGAAGTAGAAAGTGGGAGTTCTCGTGGCCATCAAGAAAGAGGAGCCATGAGCCCGGTGCACCTTTGGGCCCTGAGATCACCACACGGAACCCCTTGGATTCAGGGGCCTTCTCGCAGAGAAGCAGCAGCTGAGGCACCAGCACCAGGGGCACAAGACAGAGCAGATGGCCGGCTCCCTGCCCACAGAACGAGCCCAGACTGCCCTCGGGTCTCCCTCCAGGTGCTCAAGCGGCGAATGGCAGTTTGTTGGTCCACAGAGGTACAGCTGCATTCTGACAGGGAGGCTTAGGGTGGAGTGGGGTGCCCTCTGAACATTCATCAGCAGCACGAAGGGGGCACTCGTTCAAGCAAGGCAGAGAGCAAGGGGCCAAATGGCTGAGAGGCTGAGGACCAGAAAGAGGCGAGCTAGGGGCAGGGGCATGGCTGAAAAGCAGCTGTCCTGCACGGAGTTTCTCATCCTGGATGGGAATCTGCTCACTTCCCTAGTGAACCAAACTCGCTGCCACAGGGTCAATGCTGACTCATCGAGACGCCCCTGTGAGTTTCTGCGACGGTGGCTACTGATGGGAGCAGAAAGTCCAAACGTGCTGTGTGGCCATTACAGTGGGTTATTGAACCCGGCAGAGAAGTCGCGAGAGCCGTGGGAGCAACTGCTGGCATCTGGATTGCTAAGGAAGGTTGGAGGGTGGATGGAGGCATGTCTGAATGAGCCTGGCTGGTGATTCTCATCA